TAAAATGGTGAATTTGTGTTGACAATTTGATTATCTCTGTAAATACGAGTTTTCCTGTGTGTGACTATGTGTAAATAGATATTAGAGGTTGGTGTTAACCTTTTCCCTAAATTTACCATTTCGGTGTGACAGGAATTGTAGGCTAGAAACTGCAGTCCGTTCTCCATTACTTTGTACAGGTGACATTCATCCCATTTTCCAACCCCAATACTCCAACTAACCCTAACCTGAACTAGTCGTAGGGGACACCGGACTTCCATTCCTAGGAGTAGCATTCCTGTCACACAGGTACTTAATGCTGAAGTAATTCAGTTATGTAAAACTTTAACTTCTCTTCGATTGCTCTCTCAATGGTTCGACCTCCGTAACATTTACCAGGACTTTTACCTCGGGATGCAAGGTCGGACTTAATTCCGCTTTATTTTCATGTCAATGATCTAGTGCCCCGGTCCATAAATCACCCATGTTCTGTCATTGATACAGCCACACATCTTTTATATCAACATTCAAGCGATGTTATTAGACACAACATTTGGTTATCGTGACATGATAAAGTGTGGGTGTATTGAGAAACATATTAGACTTGTTTAATCAACCCCCGGCGGAGCTCGTCAATGACACAAAGTGTAGTGAATTTCTGGCGCTTATTGATGGTGTAATTAGAAAAAGCAAACCAAAACGTGTAGGCGGGAGACATCTTTTTTGTATTACTCAGCGATCAAGTCGAGAACTGTTTAACGCCTCTCAATCAGATCTACTGCCTGCAGATAGAAACTCGATACTAAGCCAAATGAAATCGAATGTAAGTCTAATAATGTAACGCCGCGACGATTGATAGAACTATCAAAGCAACTTGTCTACTGAACCATAACCAACGACTCATTGATAACGCCCTTTTGGTTTAAGAGTACACAGAAGGCAACCAGGTTCTATTCAAAAGTGGAAACCATGCAGTTCTTCCAAAATGATTAGCCTGTAGGACTTAAATGGTTTGACCTGCTTGTTGACACCGAACTAATCAACTAAGAGTTTGGAATACTGCGTAAAAATCAATAGGCTGAACCTTTTGCCCCTTGCAGGTACACTCTGTCACAGAGCTGGCGTACGTGAAACATATGTACATGTTTGTAAGACAAGCTTAAATAATTTGATTTGATGTGATACACTGAAATATATGGCAACAACACTTGGAGGACGCACATTTTTAACCAGGCAAAAAAGGTTGCAAACATTACATTTATAATAAAAGATTTATGGCCACCTGCATTCAGACTTGATGAATGATAAAAAATTAACTACTTTTTCTTATACGACCTTTTTAAGGATATTCGTTTAAGATTTAAATGGTTGAACGGCTATATAGATTAGATATTTTGTGATTTATCCGCAGGGTAGTGGACGTAATTGGTGTAGTTTACATTAAAATCCAATAAAATGGTGTTTAAAAAAAGTTAATCAGGATAATAAAATCTAATAAGTATGAATAAAAAAGATGTAGACTGCCTTTTTATATGTGTACACAATCATGTGAATACATTTTCAGCTTCTTATGTTATATAAGCATAAATGAGGCGGACAGTTTGGTCATTCCATAGGTATCATTTACAGTCTAGCCACGTTGGTTCTCTCGTTTGGACTGACAACCAGATGAAGACAAATGATGACACCAAGCAATATTACATCTCATGAACGCCAGTCAGCATTACTGCTACGGTAACCCCAATATCATGCTTGCTGTTAGCACTTCGCTGTTTAAAGTTTGCCTAAATACAAACTTAACAAAACTTAATACCGACTCCAACCCATTGAGCGCTTCACTTTGTAATTGTTTGTAAGATTAATACCATGTAAATGCCACGGTCGACGAAGCAACAAGTGTTTTAATTATATCTCCACTCAAAAGCCATCTCTCCTTTCCTAGTAACATGTCAACTCTATTCACCCTGTGCTGAAGAGGGTAAATGATTACCGACATTGGATATTCCCTCTACTTTATTGCTTAAAACTACATGTACATGTATGTGGCAGCTATCGCCTCGATGGGCTTGGCGTTGGTCTAAAGAAGAATACCATTGCTGCCGCATAACAGACGCCAAGACGACTACGTCACTACCCCGATGGTGACGTCATATGGCTGTAGGTGCAAAGGGTGGTCACGCAAGTTTTGTGATACTTATTTCACAGCTTTTTGCTGTGACTGCTGCATATGAACTTCTGACCCAATGATAAGCAAAGTTCCAGTTTGAAGATTATTTGTTGGACAATTTTCATTTATTAATATGCATTATACTGGTACCTACAGGCCCCGGTCCCTATCTTGTTCGCGTAATTGCATTCCACCCAATGGACTGCCTATAAAATGCTGACTGTTTGTTCTAGGACAATCTATAAAATCTATGACCGTTTCGAAAAATCCCTACGAGGTTAAGCTATAGGTTCATATTGATAGCGATCTTGTTGGCGATTTAGATGTTAATGTGTGACATTTAAAACCTTCTTGCAGTTAGCACAACCAACATTGGTCACTTTATAGCAGAGATGAATGCATCAGAATGATGCATTCAAGACTTACTGATTGACGACAAAACTAAATTTTTATATTAATTAAGCGCTTATAACAGCTTTTATAGATGAACCAAAACAGCATCATTCAATATGAAATAGAAGACTCATCAGTATACTTAAGCGCAACTGTACTGAAACACTTGGTCATATATTCTGCTTCAGGAAAGGCATACTTGTGACCTTAGGACTCGAGTGCGACCGTGTTTTAATGAATAAAATTTTTAAACGGAAAAATAATACTTATTGAAGAGGAAAATGTTATGTATACGACAATTGATTTACGTGCAGAGAATTCATTAATGCCGGGTTGGGGATGGGGGGGGGGTGATCGAGGCGCTTAAAGTAACTTTAATAGTACGCCAACTTTTAACTGGGAGGATGAGGTGCTTGAAGTCACTTTTATAGTAAGCAAACTTTTGATTGAGCAAATGTTGTTACGCACGCATACAAAAGGAAATAAAATAAATGAATATTTGTTACATATTTTATCAACTGTTGGTCGACTATATTAGAGGTATCTTATACAGGATTTTCGCACCACATCTTTCCACCGTCCCTGCACTTGGATGTTTTGTGCCATATCTAATTAAATAAATTAGTTCCAAACGAATTACAATTCATTCAGACCTCCATGTCTTCTTGACATGCCACATGATATATCGCCAACGGGTATTTGGGGGTTTATTTTTTATAGGGTGTTAATTGGGAAATACATGTACAAGTGTATGTAGAGAGATGTGCCAGGTACAGTGTATTTAGACAAAAAGTGAGCCACGTCAGTGACGCTTGCGTTTTGTGTTTTATTTGTATAATTTTGACTTGCCCGATTATTTTTGCTGTTTTGTTTTATAGTGCCCTCCAATGTGGAAAGAAATCAACAGTTATTAAAAAGCTATCTAAAAATTATATACAAATATCACATAAAATGTGTGCGTCACAAAGTGACTGAGTTACATTTTTGTGGAATCAGCCGTACATGTAGTATGCCTTTGATATCAAACTAAGGTTCTTGATCAATGTCGTCGCACAGGTTGGTAAGATTCACTCTAGGCATTAATAGGAAGAGTAGTACTCCAATTCGTCTTTTTACTTTTTTTAATGTTTGCGATAAACAGATGTCAATAGTTCCCCCCAGTGACAAACATAGCTATTGTGAATGATCACTTTGAGCAACAAGTATTGTAAGTCTATATACGCAACGTTGCTTTTTCCTGAATGCACATTATAGAAAAAAGTTAACTTGGATGCTACAATAAATGAAACCTTGTTGATAAGCAGGCTTTTTAATACTCTAACCTACCAGTATAAGGTGAAACTTAAAAGAGAGCGCACCGTGTTATTGATGTTAGACTGGCCCTGTTAACACAGAGCAGAAATCGCCTCATCGATATACGATCCTGGATCATGCTAGACGCGTACCTATTAAAATACTATGAGACTTTTTGATATTCTAGCATATGTCGATAAAATTCAATCGACGCTACCAGCGTAGTTGCCATATACAATATGGTCATGTATATGTTCACATCAGCTCTGACTTGAATTGCAAAATACTTGAAGTGTCAATTTCAAATGCGACAGCAAAATCCAATATTAATTTTTCCTACCACTTATCTTCAATAATGATATCGCCTTGGTGTCATTACAGTGCTGTGTATAATCGAAAGCGGATACCTGGAGGTATCTCCCTTACCAGCATAATAAGAATCTGTGCCACAATCAAATTGGCCCTACAAAGGTGCTAGGTAATATATATATATATATATATATATATATATATATGTTCCTGGTTTGCTTGATATTCTATCAAAAACACAATTATTCACTTATTCTAGGTAAGCCCCTATATATTCAGGAACATTATCCAAACCGTTAGCGTTCACTTTAATTATTTATTCATCGGTGTCTGTAATAAGTACTTTTTATACGTAAACTGGCACCAAAGTAACATACAGCAATATAGAGCACTGTGCGACCCTTTAACTATTGACGAAGTTTTTTTATTGAAATTAGAGTCGTATTTGCAGGAGGCCTACAATATACAGAGTTAAAGGAAGCACTAACCTATAACAAATTTGAATTTACTTAGTACCACTTTCCCAGGCCTAATTCAGTGCATGTGCGCTCTTGCTCTTCCTTGCTGCCCGTAGTATTTCAGATTGTTTCAGTTGTCCGATTGACGTGGTAGGAAAGTTGCATGCGAATCACCTGTATCACAAATTATTTCTTTCGTTCTGTGTTTTGATTGACATATTTCTTTATAGCGTGATACACTAGCGTGACTACCCCATTTCGTTCGTAAGCTAACAGTATTCCGCCACCAGTCTGCTTCACTCTCTCTCACACCACACCACCTCCCCCCCCCTCCACACACACACACATGCACACACACACACACACACACACACACACAAGGCAGTATCATTCACTTAGTCATTCATGTCGATAGCCGACGCCTGTCAAAGAGGCTCCGTAATTGAACTGTGCATGTATCTTTATGAATAAAGCTGCAGCCAGCAGCAAGGGGAATCAATACGCTGTGTGAGGACCTCAGGCACGCACGGACTGTTTTCACACTGGACGCAATTTGGCAATTACCTATTTCACCCAACACGGATAGTTTGAATTATTAACATAACAAACGCGTGACGTAAATTCGCTGGGTAGTTAAATGACGATGATCTGCGCATTTACTAGTGTGTCATTGGATCGTGCATATTTCAAAGATTCTTCGTTTTTATTAACACCTTTATTGCTATTCATGATGCACATTGACAGAAAAGTTAAACACATACGGTTGCTGTAATGTGGATCCTTTAACGGAAGTTATTCCAAGCGACAGATTAACAAGGCTGTGCAATTATAACTTAACTCGTATCACAACACAACGCGTTTGCTCTACTTGCAGGCTTGGAGATCGTTCATGATAGAGACGAGCTGTCTAGTATGTGCAGGTATGGTAACATTAGCTGTTGGGATTTTCTTAATTCTATTTTTACTGACCGTTGTTAGTGTTGGCGCCGTTATGCTGTACGGATTACTAAAATCGCTGTTTGATTCAGAGGGTTCGACACCGACTTTGCACTATAAGGAGTCCGCATTGGCGAAATTTGTACTGAAACGCTGTCCTCGACTCACGAGAGCGTTCATGCCAACATTCTGGGCTCGCAATCCTCACGCTCAAACTTTCATCGGAGCGATCCTCCCAAAAGAAACGATGTCAGTAGATCGGGAGTTCCTGCAAATGAAAGACAAAGGGATCGTTGCGATAGACTGGTGTCGCGCTAGGGAGCATAAAAAACTACGAAAATCTAGCCCTATTCTGATCATTATTCCCGGATTTTGCGGCGATGCTTACAGTGTAAATTCAATCATCAGAGAGGCAGGGAAGAGGGGATATCGGCCCGTGGTATTTAATAGGCGAGGACACGGGGGTTGTCCCCTAACCACGCCCAAGCTCCAGAGCTTCGGTGATCCCCTGGATTCAGGCAAGTGGTTAAATACATAAAGGGGCGTTTTCCACAAGCAAGATTAACGGGGGTCGCATACAGCGCTGGTTGTGGTTTGCTCATGTCGTACCTTGGCGAATACGGCTCATCGGCCTACCTCAGTACGTGTGTGTGCATTTCACCTGCGTATGATCAACAAGAATTGTACAGGCAAGGAATTAGGGAGCCTTATAATGGACTCATACTGTATGGTCTTAAACGGATCATAAGCAGACACACTCCTCCTCTAGCTAAACTTATTGATCTGGAGGCGGCGTGCAGGGCGCATTCGCTGGAAGAACTGGAGCAGTTAGTGTACTGTAAGCTTAACGGACAGGAAAATTTAGAGACATATTGGGATAAGAATAACCCTATTCGTGACGTCGATGATATCTCTATCCCATTGCTGTGTATAAACAGTAAAGATGACCCCATAAGTGGACCCGAACATATACCCCTGGACCTTTTTGAAGTCAGCCCAAATTTTCTACTTGCACTAACGCAGTATGGCGGCCACTGTGGATTTTTAGAGGGGGCGAGCGCAGACTGCTGGGCGGACATGGTAGCTTTGGATTTTATTGTTGCTGTGCTTGATTTTATTAAGAATGGAGAAAAGGATGAATGACTTCAGAATGTTGTGTTTAATAGGACAGGGGGAGCAGGGGTAAGACGGTGTCATTTCAGTAAGAGGTGGAGACCTTTCACTTGAGGAAGGTTGGCGCTGCGCTTGCGTTCACCAAATAGGCATGCACTATTTTCACAGAGATTTCAAAATATCATTCGCGCAAAAATCTCAAAATGTTGACGCCATTCATCTCAATGGCGATGGAGAAAATGTGTTATTATATATGCCGGCTGTATTATAATTGTTAATGCCTTGTGTGTTATGAAATCCCAGAACGTTAAGTGGTATTGTAACACAGTTCTTAATCTATGCATGGCGTATAACTGAAATTTCCTACATGATAGTGTTAACAAGCACCGGGTATCCTGGCCTGACTGTGTCTCATATTGCCTTCATTACAACCTAACGTGAATGATTCTTAGAAAAGATTATTTGAATGTCAAACTTTCCGGCTAATAAAATCAGTGATATACATAATAACAGTTGACGGTTAGTCTTGAAATAATGCCGGTCCATTGGTAATTTAGCGAACACTTGTGCGAATGGATTTTTCTATCAATTACATATTGAAAACAAGTCACACGGATGCGAGTGATAGCGTCTGAGATAAAGAAAATGAATGCTACACAATATTATTTTCTGAAATATTTTTCTAAGAACTTTATTGCAAGACAAAGCTGAACCAATTTGTCTCTAGATTAGCTGGTCGATTGAGCAAATGGTCAGCAAACTTTGAGATTTTCATGTGTCAATATCCATAAAGAAAATAAAAGCAATGGATAGAGTTGTACATGTACAAATAACGACGTGTCACATCCGCGGGAAATTTTTGGCTTTAAGTAAGAAAAATCGGTGACGGAAGAGTGTTTGTGACAAGCGTTATCAATATCCATAGGAGCAACTGATGTGTGTGTTCGCTTTTCGGTCTTTTTGACAAGATGCACTGGGATTGTTAAGGAAAAAGTACAGAATGAATAGAGATGGATGTAATCAATATTCCACGTCCAGACAAAACACTTTCAGACAAAATCATCGAGGATACAAAAAAAAAAGAAAACTAAAAAGATCATCAGTGGTCTTGTCGAATTGACATAAACATTGATACTCATTCTATAGTCATTTTTGTTGACCCAATGGACTGCATTAAGAACTGGAATGGATGGCTAAGCTTTTCTCAGTTAAGTTTAAGCACTTTTAATGTGTATTCCTACGGTTGATTTGACAACGCATTCTTTAGGTCTCAAATATTCTATGCTACTATTGCTCAAATTACTATCTAATCCATGAAATAAATGATCCAATTAAAGTAAAATGATCTTCATTAAATCCCCTATATTGAATGCTCGATAAGAACTGAGTGGTCCTAATATGTTGAGGTAATGATTGCGTTATTCAAGTTTCCTCTCAAAGGTCTTAATTTTCGTGAAATGATTCTGTTTTCTATTTCATCACATCAGCAAATTATGAATTTCTTAGGTAGTATTTATTGATATTTTTTTACAACCGGAACATATCAGGTTTTAGACTTGCCTTTTTGAACCACATTGAGCAATAATGGAATTATTTTTCGAAGTGTGCAAGTAAAACGCAGCTTATCATTTGCACAAAGCTGAAGGGAAAGGCTTTTTTCTCGAGTGGACGGCAGTATATTGCAACTAAAGATGCCTAAAACCAAATAATTAAAACAGCTTTAAAGATATCAACGAAATAAAACAAACGAAAACCTGATGATAGAAATGATGGAGAAAGACATATCTTCAAATTTCAGGCTATTTGTTGCAACCGCCGACGGCGCTGATATGTATAATATAGTTTTTTGCTTCTCGTCTCTCACATCTGCTTGTTTTCATTCTTCGGTTTGCCCTCGTTAACTAAATGTATCGCTCTTCATGTTTTGTTAATCCATCTCTTCCTTTATGTCTTTCTTTTTTACTTATTTGTGTAATTCTTATTATACTGTTCACATATCTTTATTAAACCAATTTATTTAGCTTTCCGTAATAAATGATATAAGCCGCCGGCCTGCCTCTGCCCCCCCCCTTCCCCCCCATTCCAACTCTAGTACATACTGGCCAGGGCATTAATAAATGGGATTTGATATTGAGCTATGAGGACAAAAACCATACATTAACAACCTTGGGTCTTTTCAGGTTAAATGTTAACATTCTATTTTCTCATTTACCCAAATGTTAAAAGGTACGTTTGCAATATGTACAATAAAAAATAAGGTTTTGTCAGAAAAATACGGGCTGACGTTGTTCAAGGACGTGTATACAATATGTACAATATGTAATATGTGTTACCATACAATACTGCTTAAATGCAGCCAATGATTACAAATATAGGTTTCTAATGATATAAGGGAATCATTTCTAAATGATAGAAAGAAAATCCTTGGGAAATTGCTGAATAATTATAGATCATATTGGGACGTCGGTCGTTTAAGGCTCCACACGATATATGCATTTATATAGAAGCACCTCGTGTCACACTTGATAAGCTTAATGGCATCTACTTGAGGAAAATGTAAACTGATATGGATGAATTGCCCTTCCTAACTAAGGCCACTAGTAATAGGAATTGCGAGAAACGTAAATCTGGGAAATAAATAAGAGGTTCCTTTTATCATTAATTTACAAGAGAACTATTGCGAAACACCTCGTGAAATCACACGTGCTGGATTTCTTTCAGTTATGCTTTTTTGAGAAAATAAACTAAGCTGAGTGTGTGAAAATAATTAAAGCTTGCAGTGAAAGCACGATGTTGTGGAGAAAATTTACTGTAAAAAATATTTGATTGGGTGCTCTAGCAATGGCGCTGCAAGAGGAAGATTCAGATATAGTTGTCCCTGAAACATTTTTTCTGTAGACTTAAAACAAAACGGTCAGTTCTGTGTGGTCACGGAGAGTTGGTTGTCCTTGATCTGGTAGATGCTGGGTTCTTGGAAGGAGTAACTGGGAATATACAGGTAAGGAGATTATATATGCCAGGATTATATGATATGATTATATGATATGCCAGGACTCATCCTTGACCTCAACCCCCTGTCTACAACGGCTGTCTGTATATTAAAATAAAGCATATTAGTGGACTATTTCCAAGTAACAAATCTCCTTTCTATGTAAAGTTGGCTAAATTACCATGCGGGCCGAGAAAAAAATCCCTAGCCCAGAGAGCGCGTTTAGATGGTAAAGAAATAAGCATGCCCAGAAAACTTCTTTAATATTTTAATGACATTGCGATTCAGTGCACAAATCCATATAAAATTCTTTTTTTCCGGATAACGATTTATGTTTAAAAATCTATCGACTAACGCGATAAATTAAGGCTGGCTGTATAGGAGATCGCCATTTCCTTATAGTGTCTTTTCAGAAAACCTTTTCCAATATTCAATGACACATTTCAGCTCAAAAATCAGCTCAAAACTGCATTAAACGCAAAATAAATAAATGGAAAAAATTAAAATGACGGAGAGTATATAAGAACACGTAGAACAGCTCACTAGGCTTGAGCCAAGAGACAAAATATGGTCCATAAAATGTCCTGACCTCCAGAAATGTAGAAATCGTCAAATTGCATTCTAAAAATCCTGCCTTTTTGGTTCTTTGTGAAGATGGCAAAATATCGAAAGCAGCTGAACGTGGTATTGATTGTGGTTTAAAGGATTATATACGTATAGCAGGTAATTTTACTTACAAGCGTCTTCTAATGTGACAAGCGCACGCGCACTGGCGACCCTTATTTCCTTACGTACGAGAGGCAGGGCATCACCCTTGAGACTTTATTGTCGAGCCAAGGAAATGATTTTATAAGGTCATTTGTGTTTACTGTTAATTAAAATTTACCTCACTTTGTAATATCGATCAATGCGGCTACGGTGCATAGGGTAACACTGTCTTCGGACATGACTTGCTATCCAGTTGGAGAATTAACGCTTCAAGATTATACATTTTCGTTCAAATTATCTTTCACATTACCTTTCATCAAATCTTTATAATTTAAAACCCCGTAAATACTAGGTTTGAAACCGCAAGGAGAATGTTTGTTGACATACTTTTGTAACAGTGGTATTAGTCGACATTTGGTTGTAAGGTGTTGTCCAAGTGATCAAGATCTTTCTGCGTCCCGTAAAAGTAAAAAAATGACTTAACATGCCGACAACTGGCTAATCATTGAGCATTCATTTTGCGACCAAAACGATGATTGGGCCTCCTTTCCACGACCACAGCAATGCCAGTTTCATGGTTGCACAAAGGGCGCAGAAAGGACGCCGTCCAGTGTAAAGGGGGTTTTATTGTTTTAGATTATGTAACCTCAAAACACTAGCAAAAGTCTTGCTACCAGTGTCCATCACGAGAGGTCTCGTTATGGCGTAACAAGGTCTCACAGGGGCATAAGCAACTAGTACACTATCTCATATGTAATTGAAAACAAAAAATTATGCTTAAGAAGTTCTCTTTTTGTCCTGAAAATGCACATGTATCTCACATCTTCGGAGATGAGATGAGATGAGAAAGATCGCCACCAGAATGATCGGGCCACCACAGCATCACGACAAAAAAGGCAGAATAGAGGCAGTAGTTGTGTAAGCTTTAAGATTTGTCACGATACTGGAAAAGATCATTTACCGTGGTTAATAATATTAATTTACCACAACATCTAAGTGATAACGATTTAATTTAACATTCAAGGAAATAATGAATGAAAGGTTGCGTAGTGAGTCAGCATCACTTGCTTGTTTGATTTAGAAGAAATGATATGTAGATTATAAATGAATTATTGATGGAAATATGATGCACCATTAGCCTTTAGTATCCAAGAGATAAAACAAAACTGGTAATACAATTATCCCTGTACCAAGTCCATGTTTTTTTCAATACACCAGACTCTGCATCTAAACTAAGTGCAACTGAGCAAGGGATTTAATTACTTCAAAACGGATATGAATTTCCTTGAATATCTTGTAGAGTAATGTGAGCGACTCCCCTACATGTATGTTAGCCTATTTTTGCAATCTTTATTGGGAATTACACGTAAAAATGCAAGTAAAAATTACCTTGCTTAATTTTATTACTTAATTATCACTTGAACTCAAATGTTGGGAGTCAACAGAATTGTGGGATGTTTAATAAGACATTTTAAAGGATACAATTTTTTGAAAGCATGAATTTCAAGATATTTGATTAAAGTAAAATTTAAAATGACAATCATTAATTTATATGTACTAATATGTACTCTAAGCTATACCAAAGGCACGAAATTTCAAACTGGTGTCAAACAATATTGTCCAAAATATTTGAAACACGGATTTGAAAAAAAATTGTGGAATTGCGTAGATATGTGTCGAAGTGTGTCGAATGGCGCATTTGCATTTTGGGAGACATCGGGCCTTATAACTACCATAGTAAAACAAAACAAAGTTCTCGCCAGCTTCATATACACGGAAGAGAAATAGCTAGATAGATAAAACAGGCTTTCGCTGACCATTCCCTCAAGTCCCTGCTTTAAACTGACTGTGATTCGTAACGATGCCGATTACATTGAGAAACAATAAAACCGACGTTGAAACAAGAAAGCTTGACCTTTCAAAGTACAAAGTACATAACATTCCCTATTCAATAGATTTCAATAAAATTATTTGCCTTGAGTGTTTAGACACATAAGTATATCTCTGCTGCCTCCCTTGGGTAGATAAGGCGACAGACAAACCTCCGGCAATCCTTAAGATGTTTGAGCAGAAGTCGTAACGGGTTTAAGTGGTTTTATACAATACAATGCAAGCACAAAGTCAGCCGATAGATAAAAATTGGGCAGCAACATGCTTCTCACAAAGGTGTTTGTGGAGCATAACAAGGTTAAGAGGTTCAAACACCTGTTCACTTGTCTTTTAACAATTTAAACAATCGGTTAAAATTGAGCCATCATTAGCACGGCGCGGCGTGGAAGTGTCTTGTCACTGCAATTTAATTTATCACGGGTTTGCAGGTTGTGCATTTAACAATAAAGGTTGACAACTACAAAAGATCACTTGATGCTTCTAAGAAACAACCAGGTAAAATCACTATTGTCAACAATGGCGGGCTGTCTTTTTTCTATAACCAGCATGACATAGGGTTGATGGTGCTGTGCGGATGAGACTAATTCCAACAATTAGAGCCACAGCCATTGAAATCGAGTTATGAACTATACATGTACAATATCAGATCGAATTCAGATCATTGCTGGAAAACGATTTCTCATTATAATGATACCGGGAAATGCCAATCGCACTTGGCTGAACATTGGTGTAATTACCGGCTTTCCCGTTTGTTTGGAAAATTATCTCATGGTGAGGATCATCAACTGCATCCTATTAAAGACAATTGGGTTATCTAAATAACCACTAAACAGCTTAAAATTGCTACTATTACGTAAAACGTTTTTAAAGGACACGTACACTTAACCATACCATACTAAAAGAACAGTGAGCTTTGTTTCGAATTTTAAAGTAACACACACCTGTGAAATGCCACACGCGATCAAGAAACGGCTATTCCCACTTGTTACCAATTATGTAAAACACGTCGTTAATTGCTGTTGTAATCAGACTTTAAAGCTTGGCTTTACCTTTGCCTTGATTGCAAACTGGTATTCGATTTTGCTATTCCTGCTTTAGCGAGATACTAGTGTTGCAGACGACAAATCTGCAACACAGACGACAAATACTCATTTTCAATATGTGAACAGCGTAAAGTGGGATTCATTGTCAACCGGTTTAATTTCGTTACCCATTGGGAACTAATTTTGTGGTTCTTGCAAAATGAAAAGCAATACAATATAGTCAAGTGCTGCCCACGTGAGGCTTGC